TGCTAACAAACAAAACCCTTAATGCATTTAATATTGTTTATTACAGACGTTCGAGAGAAATGAAAAGGTGAAAAACTTTTATAAGATGTTAGCAATAAACATGGATAAGATTAACAAAGAATTTATTTCAATGATTGAAGGCAAGTCACTGTCTCTACTACTTTGTTGTTTATAGGTAATTTATATTCTTAAGTTAGTGTATATGGTTCAAAATTTTTTGGTATCTATAATCAGGTCTTTGGTGTATATAAGCAATTGATTCTGTAGGGTTATGAAAAGAATTAATTTTTCAACATGCTTAGCTATTGTTAGCCCTGCGTACAGTGCTGTGTGTACGGGAACGCGGTCAGTTGATAGATGTCCCCACCACAGCCCTGCGAACTTCCATACAAAGTCCAGGACTTTGAAAAATATAACTTTTTTGATGGAATAACATGCCCAGGTACCAAAAATGATGATCGATTACCAGATATATCCAGAATTCCCAGTTCGGAGTCCAATTGTGGATGAAATCGGCTACTTTGCCCTAAAAACAAACTCATTCTCTCGCGTGAATGAAATTAAAAATGGTGGCGTTTGGTGGATAATTCCTCCGGTACCTACGCGTTCGTCTTTACTAGTTGTTATTTAAATATATTGCAGTTTCAGATAACTTTGTAATGGTTGTTACGGATAACTATCGTTATTTCAACCGATTTCGGCTGGGAAACTACTTATTTTTAACTTGCGCACCAATTACGGTGCGCTCCCGGACTTTGTCAATGGAGGTACGCAGGGCTGTGGTGGGGGACATCTATCAACCGAACGCGTCCCCGTACACACAGCACTGTACGCAGAGCTAAGCTATTGTCTATGTGTGTTGTCTGCCCATTCATGCATACATCAAACGATGTCTGTTGTTATTGGCACAAAAAACATTGCAGAACATCATAATTTGAGATTATATGTTTGACTGGCAGCCATTTAATTTTTATTAGCAAAATTGTTAACTGTATCACATATGTATGAGAGTTCATGGTTCATAATATTTGTTGATTGTGTGATTTTACAGAATGCAGACTACGACTAAGTGACAGAGGTATTATGGGATGTTGTATTTTTCAATCTAGTGAGCAGTATCCAATATTGACTATTTTTGTTTGTTTTGAGCGTTTTCCAATCTATAAAATTGTTGGAGGTGTTGGGTATACACCAGGCTCTGGTTACATTTTACTGCTGTGTTTGCTTCAAGCTCTTAAATAAAAAAGTGCCCGATTATGTTAAATAAAAAGTATTATGGGATGTCAGCATTTTAACAATATTGAATGCAACATGGCTATTTTCAATGTTGAGTTTGACCATGCCACAATAGACACATAGGGTAATAGATTTTAATGATCTCCTAAATTTGAATTTTATTTCATTTTCAGCCTACGAGTATCCATTTTATGGCAGTCAATGGCATCCTGAGATCAACAGTTTTGAGTTTTCTCCACGTCTTGGTCCCAACATCAACCATTCATTGGATGGAATCAAGATTTCACAATATATGGCAAATTTCTTTGTCAACGAAGGTAAGCAGTGGAAATAAAATCTAATCCTGAGTTTCTACCCAACTACCAGGACACTCTTAGCTTTTATCAGGAGACTTTTACTTTAGAAATCATTCACGAGATAATTTGGTTTGAGACCAAGAGTGAACAAAATTTAAATAGATTTCAAAAACAAAATAGTTACACAAATATATTTCTAGTGATGTGTCCCTTTCTATAGTGCAAATTCTGTTATTTATTAATTTATAACTCTTCATGTATATTCATATGTTTTCTCGCAGCTCGTAAAAATCTACATACCTTCAAAGATAAAGAAGAAGAGGCAAGAACACTGATTTATAATTACCCAGCATCCTACACTGCAGAATACACCGGTTATCAACAGTGTTACTACTTCCAATGAAATATAAAGTGTAAACTCTGAGCTGAAAATCGTAGTTGTCATCTTAGTTTAACCTACAGAAAACTAGTGTTGAATGGCTTGCACTCCCAGTTATATGCTGTTTATTTGTTTATTTTATTTATTTTGACATTCTGTTTGCAAAGTATAAGATTTTAATGGCATCCATGGTGGTATATGTCAACTGAAGTCTTGTGGTGTTTCACCACAAAATGGTGGTGTGTGGTGGTAGAGATACTTTCGGTGATCTAACCGCAAGGAACTCTGGGAAGGAGAATGCCTTCACCCCTCAAAATAAACTATAAAAATATATTTAACTCACACAAGGTTTAGAGTCCAAGTTGGATGTTGTCCCAGTTAGAAAGGGGTCAGGTAATACTTTGAATTATTTCATATATTGTCATGTGCTACTTACATCAAGTATAAGTATAGAGAAGTATAGTATAGAGAATTACGGATGCAATCTAAATAGTCACATACTGAGTCATTATTATACTCGATAACAAAAAATATAACTTCTACTGTAATTATACACATCATTGAAATGTTTACTGATTATTTTATTTCAAAATTTTATATGATAATACAGAATGCTCACTTCATTTACCAGTAACTATTTAATTGTTTAATAATATAAATATGGCATGATGTTGAGTCAACATAACATCAGGACATAGATCCATACTGTTGTATTGTTCTCATTTGCAAATAAGAATTACATGACATTACATTTGTGAAATAAAAATGTTAATCAGCTGCCTGTATTTTCATTGTAACAGTTTTTAATGGTTCATTTAGATTCCAAGAATACCAATATAATCCGCCCTGGTAAGAGGATTCTTCGTTTATAGTATAGTAGAATCCATTAAGGTTACCAGCAGTGCAGGATTCAAACCACCATCCAGCGTAGTTACTATTCGCACAACTATAAGGGTTTTGATCATTATCAACGTCATAAGTCGAAAATGGCTGGCCATTATTGTTCGCAAACGTCTGGATAAGAGAATCACCTGCTGTTCCAGAAGGCTTTCCTAAATGTAATGTGTAGTTGTTGTATTCGTCTTCGATCATGAATGGATTATATTCTGTGTATGCAGTAAGTCCGTCCCCCTTTTCCAGGTCAATTCTAAGTTTGTACGGCACCTGATTTGTCAAATAATGTATGTTGTCGTTGCCGATCCAGTATTCCCCGTCAATGTTTCCAAAACCTGCTTTGTAGGCAGCCCAAGTTCTAATGAAGCTGACTGAGCCATCTTGTCTACGTTGTATGACAGTCCATGCTCCAGAGTCTGTCATCTCACAGTACACGTTAAAGGGTGCGGATGCGCCTTTCGGTTGTATTTTGTACACACCAGAGATTGGTCCAACTGCATTCATTATATCACCACAATCTAGAAATAACATCACTGGCATACTAATGATCAACATATTATGATCTAGTTTTTTTATAGTTTGTAGATTATATATGTCATCAACAATCTGCTTAATACTTAATATTACTTATATTACTTAATATTAATAAATAGATTGAAGGTAAAAAAGAACATGTATAACACATTTAGTGTACATTTCAGTATATTATTGTATTGTAATTCGCTGTATGTCATACACATGTACTAAGAATCATTAGATTCACCAATAAAAGATTTTATACTAGATTAATGGGTACGTACATTGTATTTTTCTTTATGTGAATATATCAATTATATACACATGACAAAAATGCACAGGATTCAAACTTGCGACCATGACTCCTCAACCCACGGTAACCACCCCCAAAAAAATACTGCTCCAATTAGAGTTTTATGAACTTGGATTTGTATGCACAAGTCAAATCTATGACGTCACAAAACACGTACAGAATATATTTCTGCACGCATATGTTCAGCATGGTAACGAGTCATGATCTATCTTCAAATAAAAACGTTTTGCAACACATAAAATAGTAAGTGTTTCTATAATAAACTACTTCACTGAGTATGTTCTTTTAATTAGTAGTACGTACCAGGTATTCAATAAGAATGCGTGGTTCATTAATGTCAGAGTGTGTCAACACAACATTTATCAATATATAAAACAAAAACAAATATAACCATATTCATCTTTTCAAAGATATTCACGTTATACGAATATTTGGGTACATAACTTACCTAAACCTGGTGTGTAGTCTGGAATGCTGAATGATTTTCCTGACATTGTATTCACCTGGCAAGATGAATTGGGTTGACATTCGTTGACGTCTGTAAATAATTATTTAAATGCTTAAAAATAAATCCAAATTGTAATATAAATGTTTACACTGACACCATATGAAATGTACTATGGGATGCGTCACCCATATAGGGAAATATAAATACTTTTTAAAAAATAGGATTCGTAAATTCATGACGTATTACGTGGTTTTATTTTATGTTCAGCAATGTTTGCCCTCCCGTATATTGTTATAATATTATTATAATAGTATAGTTATTGTTGCATTTTCCAATTATAATATATCAAAAGAATGCATAGAATTGCCAAAATGTAATATATTTATTTTGGGAAGTTAAAATTAATTTACAAGAAATTAAATCAAACTCACCGTCATTTTGAAGATGGTCGTTTGTTACTAACATCACAGTCAATGATATTGACACTGACGTAGCAATAATAGCAATTATCGATACAACAATCAGTGGAACTAGAAGATTCGATCCTTGTTTTGGTTTTGCAGGCTAGAAGAATAACACACACACTATATAATTGGTTTAATTAAAAAACAACTAGCTATTATATTATTTAAACCCTTCAAGTTACGTTGAAAATCATCATCGCTCATGGGTTTTTGTGTCAAGTGATATTTTGTCATGGTACATCATCAAGTC